GAGAGGAGAGAGGAGAGAGAACGAACGAACCACGGGCGGGGATGCGAACCTGCAACCCAGGTACATGCCCGTGACCGGGAATTGAACCCATGACCCTTTGTGCCTGGGCGGACACTCCAACATCGAGCCCACTGGCCAGGCCAGCTTTCCCTTCCTGTAGATTACAGTGGGATCTTCCCAGCCTCCACATGTGGACTTGTGTGTGGGATGAAAACGATTTATGTTTTTGATTGGCGTGGCGTTTCCATGGATGTGTGCATTTTTCAAAACTCATTGAACTAGAGTACAATCTGTGCATTTAATTTACACTTTTTATAAAGACAAAGGTCAAAGCATCCTTTCCCCGCAGACTCTCCCTGAGCCCCACTTCTCCCCTGTGGCCTCACCCCTCTACGAACCCTTCCATCGCACACCCCTCCGCACACACACAATTGAGCGTATTTGCCACCTCACCAGACTATAAAGACCCCGAAGTAACAGCTGTATTTCCCCACGACCTGCTGCTCCAGCCACAGGCGGGAAGGTGGGCTCGGGGAATCACCATCCCAGTTGAGGTCCTCCACTACCCATGCCAGGGCTTAGGTCAGGGGTCCTCAAACTTTTTAAACAGGGGGCCAGTTCACTGTCCCTCAGACAGTTGGAGGGCCGGACTATAGTTTAAAAAAAAACTATGAACAAATTCCTATGCACACTGCACATATCTTATTTTGAAGTAAAAAAAACAAAACGGGAACAAATACAATATTTGTATTTGCATGTGGCCCGCGGGCCGTAGTTTGAGGACCCCTGGCTTAGGTACTCGCTTTTCTAGAACATTCCAACCCACAAAGTCCTCCTGGGAGGTACCCCGCTAGGGGGCCCGTCGGATCCCAGGCAAAGGGATTGATTATGTGGAACTCTGCCCTTGGAGCCCCGCCCCCACTTGGCCAGTGTTTTTGGAGACTGTAATTCATCTTTCAAACGGGAAGATGAGTGACCTGACTGTAAGGAACTTGCGCTACGCGGCTCACCCCGCTGTGTGTCAGCAGGCGCTCTGATGTTCCTTTGTTTGTTTGTTTGTTTTTCTCTGATGATGGCATGTCTGCAAAACAATCCCTGTTCTGTTCTTGTCCCCAGTGATGGATGTAACAGATATAATAAATGGAAAAGTAGACGACGAGGACAAGCAGCATTTCATCCCCTTCCAGCCGTAAGTATGGAGCCCTCCGCATGCGCAGCGGGTGCCCTAGAGCAGCGTGTGCTGGTGACAGTGATCTTCATGGTCAAGTCGGTCCGTTCAGCACACGCAGGGATGGGTTCTTTGGAAATAACGAGAAGTCCGTGTAGTCACTGCTGTAGCGCATGGAATTTTGTAGCCAGAAGAGAGCCCTGGGTTCGAGGTTGGTCCTGCAGGTAGAACACTTTCCATGTGATCCCGGAATCGCCTTATCACGCAGGACACGCAGAATTTCTATTCCCTCCGAGTGTGGATGTTTCTTTATGTAATTGATTTATTCTCGTAGCGATTCACATTCTCCAAATACAGTGCTTTCAGATTCCTCACAGGAGACTGCTGTTCCTAAAACAGCAGACCAAACCAGAGAATGATGGATGCTTTCCTAGAGCGAGGAATGACTCCTCCACGCCCGTGCTCAGGCCGCGGGCGCTCCTGTCTCGGTTGTTGCTCAGCGGCCTGGATCCGCACCCACTTTGAAGGATTTGTCTGTTCGGACAGATGTCTGTAGAGAGGCGGGGGCCTTGGGAGGCACCCGGAGAAGACTCGTTCGATCGATGCTCCGATGTGAAGGCAGATCCCGTAGAAAAGGCTGGAAGGCCTGGTGTCATTTCCCTGGACATAACGCAAGAGGGTGTCCAGGGAATGGTGAGCAGCCACTCTGCGGGCAACCCTGCCCCTCAGACGGGGCACAGAGAGGAGGGGGAATTAGAATGGGCGAGGCCACGTGTCAGACAGCTTCCCCCGGGGTGTGCGCTCTCGGAAGAATAGATGACAAGGAAGGACCGGCACAGGGCCTGCCCCGGTTCTGTCTCTTCTCCTCTTTTCTGGTTTGGCTTTAGTGGCCTCAGACCCCAGACAGGTTTTATTGTAGAAGTTGCACACCGTCTCCAGGTGCTGGCTGCGGGGGTTTGCAGGCAGGTGGGTGGCTGCAGGAGGCCTGTCCCGGGCCGGGGTGGGGTGGGCAGCAGATGTGGGGTGCACCTCCCTTGGCACCACCAACCCTTGCCCGACGGACCAGCCCACTCAGCCCAGGACTGACCCCGGCTTCTAGCTGAGAGTGGAAGGGCGAGCTCTAGGCAGGTGATCTGGTCGCACAGCGTCCGGAAGCCTGGCTCAGCAGACAGCTCTGCAGTCTTTTCGACAGAAGAGCAGGAACCCCTGCGGTGTTGGCTTGGACGGCGGTTCCCCTCTATGAATCTCCCCACAGGAGGCCGAGGCCCGATGTGGCTTCTATTTTTCTGTCCAGTCTAGCAACCACCAGCCATGTGGGCTGTTTCAGTGAATGGAAATTAAATGCAACTAGATATTCAGCTCCTCAGTCACACGCATCCCTTTTAGCGTGTCCAGTGCTAACGTGTCCATAGGGCTGTGGCTCCCATATGGGTCAGCTCAGATATGGGACAAGTCCGTCATTGCAGAATATTCTATGGCAGCGGTTCTCAACCTGTGGGTCGCGCCCCCTTTGGGGGTCGAACGGCCCTTTCACAGGGGTCGCCTAAGACCATCGGAAAACACATATATAATTACATATTGTTTTTGTGATTAATCACTATGCTTTAATTATGGTCAATTTGTCACAATGAAATTGGGGGTCACCACAACATGAGGGACTATATTAAAGGGTTGCGGCATTAGGAAGGTTGAGAACCTGTTCTATGGGGCGGAGCTGCTCTGGAATCACACCCAGTGGATCTAGTTACAGAGGAGCCCTCTGCACGATCTGGAAGATTCCTCCGTGCTCAGGGGGGATGTCATTTTTGAACACGGGCAGCTATGGAGGTAAAATACAAGACACACCTTTATAAGATGATGATATTAAGCTGCTTCCTTCACCCGTTGAAAAGCTAGGGGATTTGATGCTTAGTTGTAGACGCGCTGATCTCAATTTCACTGGGACGTGTTATGAGCTACTCAGGACAGTTTTCTTTTACTTTATTTTTTAAAAATATGTCTTTATTGATATTTAGAGAGAGAGAAGAGAGAAGGATAGTGAAAAACATTGACCGGCTGCCTCCTGCATGCCCCCTACTGGGGATGGAGCCCGCGACCCAGCATGAGCCCTGACCAGGAATCGAACCGGTGAGCTCTTGGCTCATGCTTGATGCTCAACCACAGAGCCACACCGGCCGGCTGCCCAGTTCTCTTTAATGCTGTTGTGTATATGAGACCTGGGAGCGTCTGGAGGCCCAGTTGTAGCCTTTAATGGGAATCGCCCATTGCCTGCCCGCGACTTCTGGGAAAAGTCAAAGGAAAGAAAACAAAACACGGGTTCCCGGTTGAAAAGTTGGGGGATTCGATTCTTAGTTGTAGACGCGCTGATCTCAGTTTCACTGGGACGCGTTACGAGCTACTCAGGACAGTGAAGTGCCACCATCCTTTTCTGCCTTTTAGCGAGACATCCACTTTACAAAGTGTTATTACAGGTGAGCTCTTCCTGTGATTTGACACTCAAACTCCTTGCTCCACCAAAGGAAGGCTGATCACGCACAGATGGATATTTGCAGCGTTAGGAACAAACCGCAGCTTTTAGGTGCAGAATAAGCGATGAAACCCGCTCTTTGGGAAATGCATGCTAATGACACCGTTTTTTTGCTCCATTAAAACTGATGTATGATGTTGCAGGGTAAGTTTAGGGAAGGGAAGCGCAGTCCCTCTCTCTTTCACTGTCTGTCTGGTCACTGGGGGAGTCAGTGTAAACAGTCCTCAGCTCCTGAGCAATGGGGCTCAGTGATGAATGGCACTCGCCCTTGGTCCTAGAAATGAGGTTAAACATGGTGCACACGACGGATTTCCTCGATCGTTGCATAGTGTCCCGGCTGTGCCACACCGCCTTTCGCTCTGCTCACGTCTGTGAAAGGGTCCTCATTCATGAGCCCTGAAAACATTGATGGGCCCGTTCATACTTATTATTATTTTATCCTCACCCGAGGATATTTTTCCCATCGATTTCGAGAGAGAATAGAAGAGAGGGAGGAGGGGGGAGGGAGAGAGAGAAACATTGATGTGCATGAGAGAGAGACATCGATTGGTTGCCACCCACACACACCTTGACCAGGGCCGGGGATCAAACCCACAGTCTAGGTATGTGCCCTTGACTGGGAATGGAACCCTCGATCTTTTGGTCCAATCGGCCAGGGCTTACATTCATAATTGCGCCACGAATTTCACGTTCCAGGGATGGTCGTTGGAATCTCCAAGACTGTGCCGTTCTTTTCCCATGGAGTACACGGCCCTTTGGAGCACCACCCAAGTGGTGGCAAGGATCCTTTTTAAAAAATCTTGATTTTGCTTTTTCCCTTCAAACCACCTGCCCCTTGCCCTACTACGCTAGGCTTCAGAATGATTGAAATGGAAGGAATGTCCATAAATTTCCTTGGGATTAAATGCCACCCAACTGCGTACTTTCCGATTAGCTCCCTTTTTACTGCTTAGGAGAAGGGGGTGTGGTCTGGTGCCCGCTTGTTTCCCGGGGATAGGGTCGACCTCGTTTGCTGTACTGTTCTCGTGTGGTTCGGCATTTTCCTGATCAATGCTCTCCCCTGTCTCTCTTGTCACCTATCCTGTCCTTTGTCGTGCGTTGACTCACGATGACTCTCTCGCACTCGGTGACGCTGATCTCTTGTGTTCCCTTGTTACCGTGACCTCTGGGTCTCTGTGCCCCTTTGTCTCCTGTGGTCTTGGTCGTCCCGTGCCCTCCAGGCTCGCGTTGGACGACGCCATTCGACACAAGCCGCTGAACATGTCATCCCGTTTTTCACCCAGGGTGGCAGGGGAGAATGACTTCCTACAGACTGTTATAAACAAAGTCATTGCTGCCAAAGAAGTCAACCACAAGGGCCAAGGTACGTATTCTGCTGTTTTGTTTCTGCAAATGTCCACTGGCTTGAGTTTGGACAGTGCCGTGTGGTTTGCATTTTAGTTTGATGATGATCATGATGATGGTGATGATGATGATAATAAATACAATGATGAAGATGATGACAATTGTGATGGTGGTGATGATGAGGAGGAGGAAGAGGGTGATAATGATGATGGTGGGGATGATGGTGAGGGGGAGGAAGAGGTGGAGAATGGTGATGATAGTGATGGTGGTGGAGATGGTGGTGATGGTGACGAGGAGGAAGAAGAGATGGTGGTGATGTTGATGGTGGTAGTGATGATGGAGATGACGATGGAGATGATGATGGTGGTGGTGGTATGATGATGGTGTGATGATGGTAAGGA